TCTATCAAGATATTTTTGTAAGGAGTGTTGTATGTGAACTTAGAAGCGGAAGTTTCAAAAGAAAAAGCCAAAGCAACTCCTACAAATGAAGGTAACAGAATGTATTTACTTTTTCCACAACTAATGTAACATTACAGACAGTATATAATCATAGAGAAACATTTTTGTCTTGCTGTATTCATAGAGAAACATATTTATGTTGCATTTGATTCAGATGCTGCAGTTATTCAAGAAAAGGCCAAATACACGGTTAAATCAGCCCTTGCAAATAAAGTGAATGATTGTTTTCAAATGTTTTGCTTTTCACTTTGACTAATCTAAATTCAGAGTTAGGAATTTAATATATGCACTCACTACTGTAAGTAGTTCTGGATAAGCGTTTCTGTTAAATGACAAAAATTAAGATTGTGAGGTGATAACAGCCCTTACAAATGATTACATTTCAATATAAATATGTATTTTCTCTTTGCACACGCAATGCTATCTTGCAATAATTTGTGTTTCCTGTAGTGCATGCTTGATAAAAAGTATATTATATTTAAGAACATACGTATACTATACAATAATTTATTGTATAATCGATATCAGATTATACAATACTCCAATTAAATAATCTTATACTGCATGTATGTTTTATTCAATATTTGACATAGATGCTGAGGTTGTTAAAGAAAAGACTAGACCAGTTCCTGCGAAGAAAGTGAAAACTGTAAAAGACAAGGCAAAACCAGTCCTACCTAAGAAAGGTATTGAAGCAATGTTTTTAAAATCTCTTTTACATCTAAAATACAGTATGTATTTACTATGAATAGTACATTATTTATTATGCTTTTAGTTGATCTGCCAGTATTTAATCTTAAATGTTTTTATTTTATTCAGAGGCTGAAGTTGCCAAAGAAAAGTCCAAACCTGCACCTGCAAAGAAAGGTACTAGTGTATTACAGTACTTCATCTACAGTAGTTTTTAGACCGAGTAGAACAGGGGGGTTAAATATATGGCCTGACTCCTGTGCAATCATCCTGTGCAACCAATGTTGTTTTACATTTAAATATTATATTCTTCCAAATGTTTAAAAATCATCTAAATGTTTTTATTTCTGAACAAAAGAGCTGGATTCAGCTCCCAAAGGCATCATTAACTAGACAACCCCAGGTGTACTAGAAACATCAAACTGGCACATATGGTCTACCGTTATTCTTGTCCTCCATTCTCATGTATCAGAACCTGAGCGTTCAAAAGAGAAAACAAAAGCAGCTCATGCCAAGAAAGATGTGCATTGTATTATGTTGTCATTTTACTCCATCTGGAGGTTTCAGACAGTTAACCTTAATCTGACCAGTTTGGTAACTGAGTATGTGTTTTATAGAATCTGACATTTCTAAAGAAAATACCAGATCAGTCATCATAAAGGAAGGTATGGCTGTAAAATCCATTTAATATCCAACTAGTGTAATATATTTGTGTCCTTAGTGGGAGGCGGTTTAGTATTTGCTATGAAAAATACTTTGACTGTATTTTATTGCTTTGAACAGATTAAGTGGTATTTTTTCCAGCATATGTCCTAAAACCATTTATAACCTCACTTTGGTTTAGTCAGTAGAGGACCTCTATTCACTAAACCAAAATATAGAAAAGCGTACTTAATGTGATATCCCAATGATATCCCAATTTTCTCATCTTCCAATAACACATCTGGATATATTTTTTTTTTTCAGAATTTGAGGTCCTTCATAGAAATGCTTCTATAACCAAGGAAAGAGTAAAAGTTGTGCCTATGAAGAAAGGTATTTATTTCCCTCTCAAATATGTTTTTGTTTGTTGTTGGTAGTGAAACTTGAGATGGGTTATAATGTTGGATATGCCACTCCATTGATTTACAATTTGTTTCACAAGTGACGGGAAAATATCTTAAATGGGATTACATTTCTGACCAATCATATGAGCTGCATGATTTGTGGGGGACGACATGTTTACTGTTGCATTGTTTACTCATGTTGTTGAAGACAAATTTTGTCTTACAAAAACTACAGCCATGTTGTTGATTACCTGGTTTTGTGTTGTTTTCTTCTTGACAAATCATGGACAAATTTTTCCTTCAAATGTCTGTTCATGTACTAGATCTTTCCATGGCCAAAGAGAAAGCCAAAGCGAGCCCTGCAAAGAAAGGTATGGATAGAATGTTAGAAACATTTATTGAATATTTACTGATTTGGATTATAGACATTTTGCTAAATGACTACAGTAGTGAGTGCATACATTTGTTGTACTTTCTTGTCCTGGTCCACCGTGGGAATCAAACCCACAAGCACTATCACGCTCTACCGGCTGAGCAACATGGGACTTAGTATTATGAAGTATTATTAAGTGTTATTGCTTATAAACATCCATAGCCTCTCATAGATGAAGTCATAGAGTGGCGCAGTGGTCTAAGGCACTGCATCGCAATACTAGCTGAGCCACTAGAGATCCTGGTTCGTATCCAGGCTCTGTCGTAGCCGGCCGCGACCGGGAGACCCATGCGGCGGCGCACAATTGGCCCAGCGTCATCCAGGCTAAGGGAGGGAATGGCCGGCAGGGATATAGCTCAGTTGGTAGAGCATGGCGTTTGCAACGCCAGGGTTGTGGGTTAGATTCCCACAGGGGGCCAGTATGAAAAAAACTAAAAAAATCAAAAATGTATGCACTCACTAACTGTAAGTCGCTCTGGATAAGAGCGTCTACTAAAGTGTAAATAGAGAATTAGGATTTTTTAAATCCCATTTAGCCTCTCCACATCTGATCATTTGATTTGCTATTGTTTCTATTGTCCTTCTTTGATTCAGAACCTGAGGCTCCAAAAGAGAAGGCTAAACCAAAGCCTATAAAGAAAGGTAGTGAATCACTGTTAATTGTTTATTTTAAATTATAAACTGGGTGGTTCGAGCCCTGAATGCTGATTGACTGACAGCCGTGGTATATCAGATCGTATACCACGGGTATGACAAAATATTTATTTTTACTGATCAAATTACGTTGGTAACCCGTTTATAATAGCAATAAGGCACCTCGGGGGTTTGTGGTATATGGCCAATATACCACGGCTAAGGTCTGTATCCAGGCACTCCACATTGCGTCGTGCTTAAAAACAGCCCTTAGCCGTGGTATATTGGCCATATACCAACCCCCTCATGCCTTATTGCTTAAATAATCCTTTAAATTCTGATCCATGTATCAAGCCTATTGGTGTAACCTATATGCATTATTCTATGATTTTTGTATCTCTGTGACAATCTTATATGATTTGATTCTTAAGATAATATTCAGTTCTTTAAATTAAGTGTTCTCTCCTGTTGAGCCAGATACTACCACAGCAAAGGTCAAAGTGTGCATAAGGAAAGGTACTGCTGTACTGGTCTACTGAAACTAGTCATTGGCTTCTTTAGAATCCCTAGACTCACTAACTCTATATATCCTCTGAAATGTGTGGTAGTGATTGTTTGTGCTCTATGTCCTTCATGGCCCTTATAGCAGGGTTGGGGTTAATTCCACAAATTACATTCGAATTCAAATCCCTCTCCCTGTAGAATCAATTTAATTCAATTCAAATTTCAGGTCAGTAATTGAATTCATGGTAATTCAATTCCAATTTAAGGTAAATTCCAATAATTCTATTCCCAATTCAATATAATCCCCAACAACTCCACAAATTCAAATTAAATTCTCTCAGGCTAACTATGTCACTTTTCAGACACCCTAGCTATACTTGAAATAGAAATGCAAGTCTAAATAATTTAAAACAAATCCTGCAGTACATTTTTATACCAAGTGCATTAATTCCATTAACATTTTTAAATTTACATTTTAGTCATTTAGCAGACGCTCTTATCCAGAGCGACTTACAGTTAGTGAGTGCATACATTATTATTTTATTTTTTTAAATCATACTGGCCCCCTGTGGGAATCGAACCCACAACCCTGGCGTTGCAAACGCCATGCTCTACCAACTGAGCTACATCCCTGCCGGCCATTCCCTCCCCTACCCTGGGCCAATTGTGCGCCGCCCCATGGGTCTCCCGGTCACGGCCGGCTACGACAGAGCCTGGATTCGAACCAGGATCTCTAGTGGCAGAGCTAGCACTGCAATGCAGTGCCTTAGACCACTGCGCCACTCAGGAGTTAACTGCAAATTCAAATTCAATATATATACATTACCAGTCAAAAGTTTGGAAACACCTACTCATTCAAGGGTTTTTCTTTATTTCTAAAAATGTTTGGTTACTACATGATTCAATATGTGTTGTTTCATAGTTTTGATGTATTCACTATTATTCTACAATGTAGACAATAGTAAAAATAAAGAAAAACCCTTGAATGAGCAGGTGTTCTAAAACGTTTTACCTGTAGTGTACGTAGACACACTTGCTTTACTCATGTCGTTAGTAAAGATTGAAAAAAGAAAGGGGCCTAGACAGCTGCCCTGGGGAATTCCTGATTCTACCTGGATTATTTTGGAGAGGCTTCTATTAAAGAACACCCTCTGTGTTCTGTTAGACAGGTAACTCTTTATCCACAATATAGCAGGGGGTGTAAAGCCATACCACATACATTTTTCCAGCAGCAGACTATGATCGATAATGTCAAAAGCCGCACTGAAGTCTCACAAACAGTCCCCACAATCTTTTTATCATCAATTTCTCTCAGCCAATCATCAGTCATTTGTGTAAGTGCTCTGCATGTTGAATGTCCTTATAATGTGATCTTAATTCAGTAGAGGCTAAACATATAAATGAAAAGGCCAAATACAAGGTTAAAAGTTCATTATTGTTTTCAAATGTTTCATTTTTCACTTTCACAAATATAAATTCAGAGATAGGAATGAAAAAATGTTGTTCTGGTTTTAACAGAAAATCACTATTTTTACTTAGAAGCTGAATTTACCAATGCAAGACCAAACCAGATCTTGCAAAGAAAGAAAGAAAGAAATGGCCCAATTCTTGAGAATAATTTTGTGTCTTGTCCAATGATTGTTTTAGAAGCTGAAGTTCCTAAAGAAAAAGCCACAGCAGCTTCATCAAAGAACGGTATGGATAACTATTTTATTTCGACTTCAAACAAAAAACGTTAGTCTTACTGTAAAAAGAACAGAGTGTTCTTTATTTATCTCTCAACCAATTACTCAGTATGGGTTTCATTGAATTGCAGTCTGAACCTTTGCTGTATATGTTATTATTCTTGTTTGATTAGAGCCCAAGGAAACTAAGGAACAAGCCAAACCAGAACCTGCAAAAAAGGGTACAGATAGGATTTGTTTTTCTTCCATCAAATGTATGTTGGCCCAATTCTTGAGATTAATGTTGTGTCTTGTCCAATGATTGTTTTAGAAGCTGAAGTTCCCGAAGAAAAAACCAAAGCAGCTACATCAAAGACAGGTGCAAAGTAGTCTTTGTGTACCACAGAACCCTTTTTCACACTACTGAGCCAAGCCAACCTACAGTATACTGGGCTGGCCTAGTTACCCACCAACCATAGTTGCTGGAACAGTGCTGGAAAGGACAATGTGAAAAGAACAAGCACAGTACAGTTTGACTTGGCCCTATAGTCTGAATCAGGTAAGACTGTATTGTATGATAGAAGGTATAGTTCATGAAATATTTTGTTTCTGATTTAGATGCTGAAGCAAAAGAAAAGGCCAAATTAGCTCCAGAAAAGAAAGGTATCAAATTATTTTTGAATTGTTGATTTTCCATTTATTCAAATAATAAGTAGGCAGACCAATTTATCCATGTTATGCTATTTATAAAACATTCTATCAAGATCTTATTGTAAAGACTGTTGTATGTGAACTTAGAAGCTGAAGTTTCCAAAGAAAAAGCCAAACCAACTCCTGCAAATGAAGGTAACAGAATGTATTTACTTACTCCACAACTAACATAATATTACAGACAGTACATAATCATAGAGAAACAGTTTGTCTTGCTATGTTCATAGAGAAACACATTTATGTTGTATTTGATTCAGATGCTGCAGTTATTAAAGAAAAGGTGAAACCAGCCCGTGCAAAGAAAGGTAAGCATGTTTTCAAATCTGTGGTTAATATGGGATTTGATAGAGCTTGATAGAGTCTGAACGTGCCAAAGAAGTAGATCCTGCAAAGCAGCATTCAAGTGTTTTTACAATTATTTTCCCTTGAATTATCACGTGCTTGTATTATAAATTGAGTTTCATAAGAAAAATGTAGCCCATTCGTGTTGCTTTTAGATGCTGTTTCCAAAGAAAAGCCTTTTTTTTGTGTTTATTTTATTTTATTTATTCACTGCATGTTTTGTGTTCGTTACAGTGTTTATTTGAATTTATTATGGATTCCCATAAGCCGCTGCCAAGGCAGGCAGCAGCTACTCTTCCTGGGGTCCACCAAAATTAAGGCAGTTATACAATTTTAAAATCATTACAATACATTCACAGATTTCACAACACACTGTGTGCCCTCAGGCCCCTACTCCACTACTACCACATCTCTACAATACAAAATCCATGTGTACGTGTGTGTAGAGTGTGTATGTTATCGTTTGTATGCATGTCTGTGCCTATGTTGGTGTTGCTTACAGTCCCCGATGTTCCATAAGGTGTATTTTTATCTGTTTTTTTTGTAATCTAATTTTACTGCTTGCATCAGTTAGTTGATGTGGAATACAGTTTCATCTAGTCATTTCTCTATGTAGCACTGTGTGCCTCCCATAGTCTGTTCTGTTGTGGGGTATGCATGGATGTCCGAGCTGTGCACCAGTAGTTCAAACAGACAGCTCGGTACATTCAACATGTCAATACCTCTCATAAATACAAGTAGGGATGAAATCAATCTCTCCTCCACTTAGAGCCAGGAAAGATTGACATGCATATTATTAATGTTAGTTCTCTGTGTACATCCAAGGGCCAGCCGTGCTGCCCTGTTCAGAGCCAATTGCAATTTTACTAAGTTCCTTTTTGTGGCACCTGACCACACGACTGAACAGTATTTTTTATTTATTTTTTTCACCTTTATTTAACCAGGTAAGCCAGTTGAGAACAAGTTCTCATTTACAACTGCGACCTGGCCAAGATAAAGCAATGCAGTGTGATAAAAACAACAACACAGAGTTACATATGGGGTAAAACAAAACATAAAGTCAAAAATACCATAGAAAATATATATACAGTGTGTGCAAATGTTGCAAGTTATGGAGGTAAGGCAATAAATAGGCCATAGTGCAAAATAATTACAATTAGTATTAACACTGGAATGATAGATGTGCAAGAGATGATGTGCAAATAGAGATACTGGGGTGCAAATGAGCAAAATAAATAACAACATGGGGATGAGGTAGTTGAGTGGGCTAATTTCAGAAGGCCTGTGTACAGGTACAGTGATCGGTAAGGTGCTCTGACAACTGATGCTTAAAGTTAGTGAGGGAGATAAGAGTCTCCAGCTTCAGAGATTTTTGCAGTTCGTTCCAGTCATTGGCAGCAGAGAACTGGAAGGAATGGCGGCCAAAGGAGGTGTTGGCTTTGGGGATGACCAGTGAGATATACCTGCTGGAGCGCATACTACGGGTGGGTGTTGCTATGGTGACCAATGAGCTAAGATAAGGCAGAGATTTGCCTAGCAGTGATTTATAGATGGCCTGGAGCCAGTGGGTTGGGCGACGAATATGTAGCGAGGACCAGCCAACAAGAGCGTACAGGTCACAGTGGTGGTTAGTGTATGGGGCTTTGGTGACAAAACGGATGGCACTGTGATAGACTACATCCAATTTGCTGAGTAGAGTGCTGGAGGCTATTTTGTAAATTACTTCGCCGAAGTCAAGGATCGGTAGGATAGTCAGTTTTACGAGGGCATGTTTGGCAGCATGAGTGAAGGAGGCTTTGTTGCGAAATAGGAAGCCAATTCTAGATTTCACTTTGGATTGGAGATGCTTAATGTGAATCTGGAAGGAGAGTTTACAGTCTAACCAGACACCTAGGTATTTGTAGTTGTCCACATACTCTAGGTCAGACCCGTCGAGAGTAGTGATTCTAGTCGGGTGGGCGGGTGCAGCAGCGTTCGATTGAAGAGCATTCATTTAGTTTTACTAGTGTTTAAGAGCAGTGGGAGGCTACGGAAGGAGTGTTGTATGGCATTGAAGCTCGTTTGGATGTTTGTTAACACAGTGTCCAAAGAAGGGCCAGATGTATACAAAATGGTGTCGTCTGCGTAGAGGTGGATCTGAGAGTCACCAGCAGCAAGAGAGACATCATTGATATACACAGAGAAAAGAGTCAGCCCAAGAATTGAACCCTGTGGCACCCCCATAGAGACTGCCATAGGTCCAGACAACAGGCCCTCCGATTGACACATTGACCTCTATCTGAGAAGTAGTTGGTGAACCAGGCGAGGCAGTCATTTGAGAAACCAAGGCAATTAAGTCTGCCAATAAGAATGCATTGGTTGACAGAGTCGAAAGCCTTGGCCAGGTCGATGAAGACGGCTGCACATTACTGTCTATTATTGATCGCAGTTATAATATCATTTAGGACCTTGAGCGTGGCTGAGGTGCACCCATGACCAGCTCGGAAACCGGATTGCATAGCGGAGAAGGTACGGTGAGATTTCGAAATGGTCGGTGATCTGTTTGTTAACTTGGCTTTCAAAAACCTTCGAAAGGCAGGGCAGGATGGATATAGGTCTGTAACAGTTTGGATCTAGAGTGTCACCCCTTTGAAGAGGGGGATGACCGCGGCAGCTTTCCAATCTCTGGGGATCTCAGACGTTACAAAAGAGAGGTTGAACAGGCTAGTAATAGGGGTTGCGACAATTTCGGCTGCTATTTTTAGAAAGAAAGGGTCCAGATTGTCTAGCCCAGAGGATTTGTAGGGGTCCAGATTTTGCAGCTCTTTCAGAACATCAGCTGTCTCAATTTGTGTGAAGGAGAAGCGGGGGGGGGGGCATGGGCAAGTTGCAGCTGAGGGTGCAGAGCTGGTGGCCGGGGTAGTGGTAGCCAGGTGGAAAGCATGGCCAGCCGTAGCAAAATGCTTGTTGAAATTCTCAATTATTGTAGATTTATCGGTGCTCTTATTCTCCATGTCCCAAAACTTTTTGGAGTTAGTGCTGCGGGATGCAAATTTCTGTTTGAAAAAGCTAGCCTTTGCTTTCCACTCTGCATGTGTATATTGTTTCCTAACTTCCCTGAAAAGTTGCATATCGCGGGGGCTATTCGATGCTAATGCAGTATGCCACAGGATGTTTTTGTGCTGGTCACGTCTGAGGAGAACCAGGGGCTATATCTGTTCTCAGTTCTGAATTTTTTGAATGGGGCATGCTTATTTAAGATTGAGAGGAAAGCACTTTTAAAGAACAACCAGGCATCCTCTACTGACGGAATGAGATCAATATCCATCCAGGATACCTGGGCCAGGTCAATTAGGAAGGCCTGCTCGCTAAAGTGTTTTAGGGAGCGTTTGACAGTGATGAGGGGTGGTTGTTTGACCGCGGACCCGTTACGGACGCAGGCAATAAGGCAGTGATCGCTGAGATCCTGGTTGAGGACAGCGGAGGTGTATTTAGAGGGTAAGTTAGTCAGGATGATATCTTAGAGGGTGCCTATGTTTACGGATTTAGGGTTGTATCTGGTAGGTTCCTTGATAATTTGTGTGAGATTGAGGGCATCTAGTTTGGATTGTAGGATGGCCGGGGTGTTAAGCATATCCCAGTTTAGGTCACCAAGCAGTACAAACTCTGAGGATAGATGGGGGGCAATCAATTCACATATGGTGTCCAGAGCACAGCTGGGGGCTGAGGGGGGTCTGTAGCAAATGGCAACAGTGAGAGACTTATTTCTGCAAAGGTGGATTTTTAGAAGCAGGAGCTCAAACTGTTTGGGCACAGACCTGGATAGTGATAGAGCTCTGCAAGCTATCTCTACAGTAGATTGCAATTCCACCCCCTTTGGCAGTTCTAGATGGAAAATGTTGTAGTTGGGGATGAACATTTCTGAATTTTTGGTGGCCTTCCTAAGCCAGGATTCAGACACTGCAAGAACATCAGGGTTGGCGGAGTGTGCTAACGCAGTGAATGACTCAAACTTAGGAAGGAGGCTACTGATGTTAACGTGCAGAAAACCAAGGCTTTTACGGTTACAGAAGTCAACAAATGATAACTCCTGAGGAGTAGGAGTGATACTGGGGGCTGCAGGGCCTGGGTTAGCCTCTACATCACCAAAGGAACAGAGGAGGACTTGAAAAAGGATATGGCTAAAGGCTTTAAGTCCAGGTGCGAGAAAACTAGGGCCTGTAGGACCTGCCTTGTTGATAGTGCTGTTAAGAAGGTAGAGCAACACTTTATTATGGACAGACTTCTCCCCAACTTAGCTACTGTTCTATCAATATGTTTTGACCATGACAGTTTACAGTCCAGGGTTACTCCAAGCAGTTTATTCGCCTCAACTTGCTCAATTTCCTCAAGATTTATTACAAGATTTAGTTGAGATTTAGGGTTTATTGAATGATTTGTCCCAAATACAATGTTTTTAGTTTTATAAATATTTAGGACTAACTTATTTCTTGCCACCCACTCTGAAACTAACAGCAGCTCTTGTTAAGTGTTGCAGTCATCTCAGTCGCTGTAGTAGCTGATGTGTATAGTGTTGAGTCATCCGCATGTTGAAAAAAGTAAGGGGCCTAGACATCTGCCCTGGGGAATTCCTGATTCTACCTGGCTTATGTTGGAGAGGCTTCCATTAAAGAACACCCTCTGTGTTCTGTTAGACAGGTAACTTTTTATTCACAATATAGCAGGGGGTGTAAAGCCATAACACATGCGTTTTTCCAACAGCAGACTGTGATCGATAATGTCAAAAGCCGCACTGAAATATAACAAAACAGACCCCACAATCTATTTATTATCAATTTCTCTCAGCCAATCATCAGTCATTTGTGTAAGTGCTGTGCTTGTTGAATGTCCTTATAATGGGTTCTAAATTCAATAGAGGCTAAACGTATCAATGACAAGGCCAAATACAAGGTTAAACTAGCCCTTGTAAGTTAAGTTAATTAATGTTTTCAAATGTTTAGCTTTTCACTTTGACAAATATAAATTCAGAGATAG